CTTTTGTTCGTTTATTTTCCTGTTCTCAGTTAAGAGCCAACGTACTAAGCAAGCACCTCCTAAAACAAATCTTACACAGAACACAAACGAAGCACAAATGAACAACGGAGGGGGCAGATGGTTAACACCTGCCGCTACACATGTGCAGCGTTTTGTTTCGCCAGTGTTTCCAGATCGGCCGTTCTGACTGCATTCACTGAACTTTATTGTCAGATGTTGTATTACACGATGGGTTTCTAACAGTATTAGGGTTTGAACTTACAGCTACGAGTTCGCGACCATGACCAATCGGTTTTTAAAATAGTATTTTATTCTCCTGACTTTCTCTCTACGATATGTAAGAAAGAGCAGAATAAAATGAGCAGCAATTCCTATTATACCATAACGAGGTTTTGGACAAAATCGAGGCTCAAACGCAAGACCTATCGCTTACCAGGTTGATATTTTATACCGATTATACAACAGAACTAAAAATCTAAATCTTAACTGAGTTTAAGCCTTTGCAATGTCATGGTAAGTATACTTACCACCAATTTCATTAATTTTTATATGTCCATGGTAAGCTATTTTACCACTTTTTATTTGTGTTGCCATCTATTAATAAGTTCAGAAATTTTTTCCAATTTATAAGCCCTTACACTTTTTTTTACCAACCCCCTTCCACAATACATTTTATTTTCTCATGGATGTGGCAATTTTCAATTCCTTTATTTTGTGGAAATTATGTAAAAGAGATATGGGTTCTCAAGACCAACTAGTATTTCGTCTGTGGTTCTCATACCTCTTGATTTCATGGTTTTCCAAGTCAAAAATGAAAAAGATGACCCATAAGTTCCCTGGGCAATAAAAAAATGGTTCCAGACGAAATGAGATTGAATAAAATTAGTAATCATACAGTGACAGGTCTATCCGAGTTCTTTCAACTAATCCTCCTGTGAAGTATTGGGTCCTTAAAATTTATTCAATCATAAACCTTCCCCCCCGAAGAAGATGTGAGTATGTAAATTATGCAGTGATTGATTAAGCGTGAAGTGACTACTTCGTAGCTGATTAGTGTAACACTAAAGATTGACGATTTGTCAACCAATAATTAAATTGAATTATGTCGCGTGGACTTATAAGGTATATTGCCTGGACATAAGTGATCCGATTTATTAAGACTTCTCGTATCTCTTTTACCTCGCTATTGCTTCCCATATTTAGTCGTTGGTGCATCTCTTAACTTGGTTAATAGAATTCGTGTTGTTGTTCATAATAGTAAATAAATAGAAGTTATTTTTTTTTGAATATGGCTAATCTTCCTTCCGACTCTTCCACACTAATGGACGTCGCGGGGCCACCATTACAATATTCCAATTTTAGGGAATACACGCAGGCGCTATCCATTGATCTCAACTAAGGCACATCAAAATAGAACATGACATATGTGCACAACTTATGCTGTCCCGTTATGCGTGTCTACACTTTTTCAAAAATTTCATGGAAAATAATATTTTAATTTGTCATCTTTGAATAAAAGAGCTATAGTATTCAATTTTCCCCCCAGTTTTGTAGTATTTACGAAATATATTTTCTATATATATATATATAAACATTAAGTTTTCTACTTTTTAATAGCCCCAATGGGAGGGTGTAAGTACACTAACCACCGAAAAAATGTGTCAAAAATTAAATTAATTTTATCTAATTAGCTAAGAGAATTTTTTTCCTCAAATCAGTCTCAATTCCATAATATTTTAAATCCCTTTACTAAAAATAAATGGCACGTTAAAGGGTTCAAATAATAAAAATAATTAATTAATTATTTGCATTATTAATTTTTAGTAATAGTTATTCATTTGGAAGTATTCTAATTTTTCCATGGATATGTTTTCAGCTGTTCGCAGTAGGTACACATTTTCATAAAAAAATTTATACTCATATTGACATTTTTAAATTAATTTCACGCAATATGGAAACTAAATAATTTTTATTATACAATATTAGTATTTTTTTTAATGTATTATCAATAATTTTTCATTAAATTGATGCTTAAAGGAATAATACAAAATAAATG